GTAAGATCTAACGATGTAAAAATCCAACGGCTGACATTCTTCAACCGACGTGGAATTATTATTTAAATTGATTTAAGAAATAACAAATTAACCCAAAGTAAAAAATTGTATTAAAAAAATAATAAATAAATCTCTCTTTGTTTATTGCCGCCTCTCACCGAGGGAAGCGCCATATAATATGAGATATGCGTAACTTTTCGGTGGTGTTGCTCTGCAGAATCAGAACCTTGGGGGGATTTGCCTGGAACTTTTCGGAACTTTTCGCTGTTTCTTCAACGTGTTGAGATTCCGTATCCGTTCATTTCTGATAAAAGGTTCGGAATCAACTGTTGGAGTTTTCATTATTTGTCTTAATCATGTATTTGTTGCAATGGCGCCAATTATATGGGAAAGGATTGGTTCTGGTTGTGCGGGTAGCTTGATTGGTTTGGCAATTCTTCCGGTAGATTTTTTTTTGAATTTTATGGTTTTTTTCTTGTTGAATTTTGGAGATCTGAAATCGAGGGCGTGATGGTGCTTCTTGCATGATGATCTTTTTCGGCAATCTTTTCTGTTTCGTTTGATTGGCTAGATTCGAAATCTGTTTTCAATTTTACGAACCGGGATGGGTAAATGCGTAGAATGGGATGAATCTAGTTCTTAATTCCGTTCTTCGTTTTAATGTAAAAGGTTACATTTTAGAATGTTCAGATTTTGTACGATTTCTTCTTTTCTTTTTGGATCTTAAAATTTTTCTAATGTGAGTGTAAATTACCGAGGATTCCTCTTAACTTTTTTCAGCCCTTCGATCTTTATTGGTGTATTTAAGACACGGTCATATTTTATAGCATTTTTCTCTAATCATGCTATGTTTTTTATTGTTTGGATCATATTCACTATACAGAATGTAATGTTCGAATGATTTGCATGTGATCATTCTCATTCTTCCCAAATTCGAGACATTTCCTGCTTTAATTTTCTAGTATAACTGTGTCACCCATAAGTTTTGCTTACCTTAAAATCTTGTTCACTTATTGACTGATATTTTATGCATTGAAATGGAATGACCGTTGGTTGTAGCTTTAATTTTGTTGAATTATAAGGATATATGTATTGTGGCAACAGTGTTGATATAATTCTGATACTGCTTTAGATATTTCACAATAATATACTTGATAGGACATATGAGTATATGATATATGGTATTAGTGCGACGATACGCTGGGTTATTTTCATCATATGAATGTCACCTCTTTTGTCTGATTCCTACTTTCTAAAGAAGAAATATCTTTATACAATTACTTTACTTTAAAAAATCTGCTGAATAAGATTAGCTTTTATGTTGACCATGAACAGTTGTTTCTTTCATTCAGAGTTTTTATTTTACTCCTTTTTTAATGGAATCTCTTCCTGCATGACAGTTGAGGATGTGTTTAATAGAATGGTTCTTTAAGATAATTGATTATCAACTATTGGTTTTAAAAATTTTCAGATCGGCCAATTTCACCTAAAGAAGTTTGTTGTGATAGTGATTTTCTTTAGAAATTGGTATAACTATGGTCACAATGGAGAATGCTAATAAGAAGGAAGATCGTCTACCTAGAGAAGCCAGGGAGATTTTGCAGCAATTGGCTAGGAAATGGGGAGATGAAACTGATTCGAGTGCATGGCAAATGATCCCTTTGAAGGGAGCCATGACCAATGAGGTCTACCAAATTAAGTGGCCCACTAAGACAGAGGATGTCTCTAGAAAGGTTTTAGTAAGGATTTATGGTGAAGGTGTGGATGTGTTTTTTAACCGACAAGATGAGATAAAGACATTTGAATTTATATCAAAGCATGGGCAGGGACCTCGCCTTCTAGGGCGGTTTTCAACTGGTCGAATTGAAGAGTTCATCCGTGCAAGGGTATGCAGGTTTTATTCTCTTAGTAATCATGCCTTTACTTTTATTTTAATTTTCAAGAATCAGATTAAAGGGATCTCAAAAGTAGATAAATTTATAAAATATTTTGAGATATGGTAAATTTGTGAGAAGATGATCCCTTTCTTTTTTGTTTCTTTGCAACGGAGATTCCTTTTTGCTCATCAAATTTCCACCTTGCTTAGTGTGGGATCGCAATTTGAAGATGGCTGTGCCACAATGATAACATATAGCCATGTTTCTAACTCCTATTTTCAACGTGGCTTGTTTTATCTCTATCTACCCGGTTTTTCCTGGCACCTTTTCGTAACATCCAACTTATTATTGCGTATTTTTTTAGGAATGTGTTATGCCAGCTACTGAAACAGCCTTGGGAGCATTTTATTGTGTTATTTGCATAGTTTATATCTGGCATTAATATAATATGAGCATTTTATTTTCTAATGGCAGAATACTTGTTTTTCTTCTTTTTGTGTTATTTTGTCTTGTTAATATGTGACTGTCAGACATTATCAGCAGAGGATCTACGTGATTCAGAAATATCTTCTCTCATAGCCTTTAAAATGAAGGAGTTCCATGATCTTGATATTCCGGGTCCAAAGAATGCGAGCTTGTGGAGTAGATTGCGGTATGACACTGTACTTTAGATTGATCTTGTTTTCCCTTCAACCTTTTCAGATACGATGATCTACACTTGCACTCGTTATTGTTCTTGTAGTCCTGACATAATTTTGCTTTCTAAACTTCAGAAATTGGCTTATTGCTGCCAAAAGAATTTCTCTACCTGAAGAAGCCAAAGCCTTTCGCTTGGATTCTATGGAAGAAGAGATTTCTCTATTGGAAAAGAACCTCTTGTGGGATCGTCAAAGTATTGGTTTTTGCCACAATGATTTACAATACGGTAACATAATGCTAGACGAGGAGACCAGATCAATAACTATAATTGTAATATTCTCTTTCTGCTGTCTTAGAATTTATTTTTCTTGAATTTGGGGGGAAAATCATGTCTATATTTTTTTTTTCTTTTTCCAAATATACTGTTTGATGAACTGCATTACATAAATCTAGAAAACAGATTGCTCATTGTCATTTGTCAATTGAAAAATGAGAAATGGTATCCGAGTGTTGCAATGTATATATGATGTGATCATGGGGTGCCACTCTGTTAGCTGTAGTCAGGAAACAACCTAAACTACGACAACCTTCGGTTTTTAACCATGGAACATAGCACTTACAATAGCCATCTGTCGTGCCCAGCCACTAATTTTATGTTTGTTTTGATCTGATGAATATTTATCCAAGATTGGTACTTTGAAGTCGAATCATTCATGGAGACATGAACATATTACCGTTGCTTGAACCATTGCTAATTTAGGTGTATTTATTATTATTGTTATTGTTATGTTATTCTTTTTTAACTGGAACCCATATACAAGTTTAGCCATTTAGGCAAGAGAATATCATGTCTTTTTTAGAAGAATTGAAATTTGAGTCACGTTACTCATAATTGATTTTCGTAACTCTCCTTCTCAGGATTATGAATATGCAAGTTATAATCCCATCGCCTTCGACATTGCAAATCACTTCTGTGAAATGACTGCTGATTATCATACAGACACTCCACATGTTTTGGACTACACCAAATATCCTGGTTTGTTTTGTATATATATATATAGATATTTATGTATTTGGTGTTGATTGAGGGGCAGTCTTGACTTCTTTTTTCTGTAACAGGTTTGGAGGAGCGTAAAAGATTCGTGCAAACATATATGAGCGCTTCAGGTAATTTTACGATCTTTACTATATAGAATAGGAATACGAATGGTTGTCAAGGGATCGAAAAATATGCAACCATGCCAGATCTTGTCTGTATGAGTACAATATAATGTTCATTCTCAAGATGCTTTGATTTTCTGTGCAAGTTCAAGTAGTTTTCGATTCTTGTCCGATTTTACTTAAGTACATATTGCATGCACTGAAGGAACCATCTATTTTTGGGACTTGAAGTTCAAAATTTTCAGTGATGAGATAGATGGAGATAGATTTTCTGGAAGTTCAAAAGATGCATTTTTGAGCTACTTATTGATTTGGGCTCTCAAATTATGTTCATATGCAGGTCAGCAGCCCCGCGATGCTGAGGTGGAGCAATTAGTCGAAGATGTTGAGAAGTATACTCTTGCTAGCCATTTTGTTTGGGGCCTCTGGGGAATAATATCGGTAATTTCACTCTTCCAACCCCGAACCATGCATTCGTTTCAATAAATTATAGGCATGTTTTAGTTTGTATGTGTGCTAACTGCAAAAAAAAAATAAATCATTGTTCTGTTTCGTAGTAACATTTATGATATTATTTTTCTCATGTGTTGGAACAAGATAATGTATTGTTTGTGTTCTATGCTTCGAATTATGATATCATAACCTCTTAACTTGATCTCCTAACAACGTCCTTAATCATCAATTCGTTCCTTTCATTTTCAGGAGCATGTAAATGACATCGACTTCGATTACATCGAATATGCGAGGCAGAGGTTTGAACAATACTGGGCTCGTAAACATGTTCTACTAGGCAAGGAATAATAACTCATGTTTAGTTGGTGAGTTTTCGTTTTGATGTGAAAAACAATAGGAAAATTCGTTTATGAGGTTCAGTGTTTAGGATTCAATTATAAACTAAATCAAGTGATGCACATAATAAGTATGATTCCTGTATTAAGCTTGCTCCATATTATTGTTGTGTAATAATAGCAAACAAACAAAATAAAATTGTTTCATAAACCAAAAAACTGAAAAAGAAATTCAATAATATTAATTATTACAAGTTATTTATTGTTATTTTATTAGTCATTATGCCTTTTTCTCTCATGAAATTTAAAACTTATCATGTCATGTGATATTATAAGTTTATTACTGAATTTGTAGTTCATAAAATTTAGAAAGTGTTATTATAAGTTTGAATCTTATTTATACTAATTCTATAAGGTAGCACGAAATTCAATGCTACTTTCGTATCTCTATCAATCATGATTTAATCTTTTTCAGCATGCTTTACATAAAAAAAAAAATATAATATGAAATTAAAAAATGCTAAAAATGCTAAAAATGCTCTCTATTTATACCTAAAACTCCACCGCTCCTTCCCCTCTCTCTCGCTTCTCATCAAATGGACAAACTGGCCGCCGCCATTGCTTCGATTCTGCTCTCCTTCCTTCTGATCGCGCCTTCCGCCGCCGCTTCTCGCAAGCTCCGCCCTCAAGACCACCGGAATCTCCTCGCCAATGCTCTCGCCTCCACGCCTCCCATGGGGTTCCAACTCCCTTTCCTCCTCCTTCAATTTCTTTCTTTCTTTCTTTCTATTCGTTTTTTCGCTTTGTTTTGTAGATGGAACAGTTGGAATCACTTCCGGTGCGGCATTAACGAGACCGTCGTCAAGCAAAACGGTGTCGTTTTCATTTACTCTCTTTTATTTTCTAATATTTATTTATGCTTTTTCTTTTTTATATAATAAATAAATAAATAAATAAATTCTACAGCTGATCTTCTTGTTTCCACTGGCATACGTCTACGTTAACATTGGTTAAAATAAAATTTAAAATATTTTAATTTTTTTCTTAGTAATTGTTAATTAGTTTTTACCCGACTAAAATGCAGTCGTTTTTTTAGATGATTGCTGGGCGGAGTTGACTCGTGACGTCGAGGTAAGTCACTCTCTTTCAAATTAGGGATGTTCTCATAAATAAATGGGTGAATAAATTGTTGGAGGCTGGAAGTCTCTTAGTTTAGTAAATGTTCATGAGCTTATAAATAATAGTTTATCCATTGGTTTGATGAGTTTATAAACAAATAATACTTCATCCATTGGTTTGAGACATTTTGGAGAAGCACAAGCAAAATTATGACTAGACATTTTGGAGAAGTACAAGCAAAATTATGAGAGTCAGTGGACAATATCATACCATGATAGAGAGTCGGTGGACAATATCATACCATGGTAGAGAGTCGGTGGACAATATCATACTATGGTAGAGAGGCGGTGGACAATATCATACCATGGTAGAGAGTCGGTGGACAATATCATACCATGGTAGAGAGTCAGTGGATTCATATCATGGTAGAGAGTCAGTGGATAATATCATACCATGGTAGAGAGTTAGTGGACTCATATCATGGTAGAGAGTCAGCGGATAATATCATACCATGGTAGAGAGTCAACATGTTCGTCTAACATAAATAATAAATAAATATGTGTTGTTTGGAGTGGTCTTTTTTATTAATAATTAATTAATTAATTAATTAATTATATATATATATATATATATATATATATATATATATATATAATTATTAAATTATTTAATTTTTAGATCCTGACATGCTTGAAGTTGGAAATGGAGGGATGACCAAGGAAGAGTACAGAGTCCACTTCAGCATATGGGCCATTTCCTCAGGCCCAAAGCAATAAAAATAATAAATTTTTATTATTTTTTTAATTTTATTAATTTTTACAAAATTGCCCACAGGCTCCACTTCTCTTGGGTAATGATCTGAGGGAGATTTCCGAGGACTCAATGGAAATAATTTGGAATTCTGAGGTTATTTCTGTAAATCAAAGTAAATTTAATTCTATTATTATTTGGAATTATATATATTTTTTAAACAATTCTGGTAGATCCTCTGGGTGTCCAAGCTAAGAAGGTTAGAAGCGGACACGTGGAGGTAATTAAAATTGACAAATTTATTATTATTATTTTTAAAATTTAGAGAGAATAAATTTAAAAAGGGTAAAAAAATGGAACAGATTTGGGCTGGGCCTTTATCTGGATACAGAGTGGCGGTTCTGTTGGTGAACAGAAGGAAATGGAGGATGGCAGGTAGGGCTTATTGGGACGACATCGGCATTCCTAACGACACTGTCGTTCAAGCCAGAGATCTCTGGGAGGTAATGTTCCCTAATAAAGCCCATTGGGCTTCCTGGGCTGGGCTTGCCTATAATATTTTGAAATGGATTGAATAAATAAATCATCATAATAATAATATTATTATTATTATTTTAATTTTTGTGGTGATTTTTGCACAGCTATTTGTGGGAAATATATCGCACACTTCGGGAGCCCATTCATGCCAAATGTCCATTTTAACCCCAATTTCTTGAAGAGGATTTGAAATCTATTTAAGTTTAAAATATTTTCTTTTATGTTAATATTCGTTAATAAAATTCAAGTTAGAATTATATATATATATATATGTTTTTTTCATTTGTTAAGAAAATATTCTTGATATACCTATTATAGTTTTGTAGGAGAGTTATCTCGTACCCCAGGTATTTTCTACATACCCACCTGTATTGGTTTTAGATACAGGTATCCTTTTGTTGAAGGTCATTCAAGCTTTTTCTGGGAATATGGCATGAAGTATTTTAGTGAGCGTCTGGTACTCGAACATTGGCTCGAGGTATTTTCTCTACCCCTTCTTACCCTTAAAAAACAAGGGAACCTTGCGTCCTTGAACCGATAACCATTTTTCGACTAATCTAGCCTCCTCTGTCCCTTGGACCAACAAGGGGTAGTATAGAAATGTTCACCTATTGTCCATCGACTATGCCTTTCGGCCTAATCTTAGGCCTTGACTCACCCTTTGTGAACGAACCTTGCAGAGGAACCCTATAGATAGACTCTTATACATAAAAGAACTCTTCTCGATGCCCTGTCTAGTAAATTTGAACTATTCTCCTTTGAACCTCAAACGTAGCTGCCAAGTCCTTGTTCAAGAATTTGAACTCGATTCCCCTTTGAAGTTCGAACGTTGCCCTTAGCTGCCACGTCCCTGTTTAAGAATTTGAACTCGATTCTCCTTTGAAGTCCGTTGCTCTTAGCTGCCACGTCCCTGTTCAAGAATTTGAACTCAATCCCCCTTTGAAGCTCGTGCTATCAAACTAGTTTCTCATCTCTTAGAATCGACTACCTATAAAATGTAAAATTGTAATGTGAAATAAAATAGAAAAAATTGTTATTAAATATATTAATATATATTATTGAATTTGGTAAATAAAAATGAAAAACAAACATTCCTCCACAAATATCTTACTTTAAAACTATATCCATTTTGATTTTCTATTTTTCCTTCTTAATTTTTTATTCGTCCATATCAACTATGTTGACTTCTAGCCTTCACCAAAATAATAATAATAATAAATAAATAAATAAATTAATTAAATATTAAATAAAAATAATAAGTAATTCGATGGAATTATTGGGGGGTAACGCTGAGTCTGTTGTGTTCTTAATCATGGTGGAACCACCATTGATGGCCTGCATGGGCAGATCGCACTTTCTCCATAATTGCTTGTTGTTCAGTGAAGAAGCATTACCAAATCCTGTCTCCTTGGCGAATTCAATGCTCTGAGGTAACGAATCATCCAGTTCTGATCTAAAACTAACTATGTAAATAGTACATTCACCATTAATGCTCTCAATCACAGGCTACAGCCCTCGGCCATGGTTTCATCTCCAGCTTCGATTATGCTTCTCCTCTACTCCGTCCTTTTCTGGACCTTCTTCTTCAGTAGCAACGGCAATGGCGGTGCGATGGCCGGAGCAACTCGATCGAGACCTCTGCGGTTTGCTACTGAGTTTGATTATGACTCCCCCAGGAGAGTTCTCCTCAATAATGGCCTCGCTCTAACTCCTCCGATGGGGTGAGTATTACTCTCTGATCATGATTTTTGTTTCCGTATCAGGAGGATGAATCAGATTGAATATAGTGTAGTTTGTTCGTTTAATTGTCGGCCTTCTCGGTTTCGTTCAATAGTGTTTTATTCACATTTCGATAGGAATGGATTGCTGACTGCTTCTGTTTTTTCGTAATGAGCTCAGATGGAATAGCTGGAACCATTTTCAGTGTAATATAAACGAGAATTTAATCAAGGAAACAGGTGATATTTTGATTTTGAATGCGTTTTTCTGTTTGGATTTGTGTACAGTGACTGAGATACCGATCCTATTTCTTTTGCTAAGCGGATGCAATGGTATCCAGCGGCCTTGCTGCATTAGGATATCAATACATCAATTTAGGTGATGTTTATATTTCTTTCTTTTTACATTTCTATGGTTTTTCAGCTTCATGCTTTCTGTTTCTGACATTAATATGATCCTATTTCCATTCGAGTTAGATGATTGTTGGGCTGAACTGAATAGAGATGCTAAGGTAAATTTCAATGTTCTATATCATGTCTTGGATGATGACGATGAAAATCTCAATATTTGCATTAGATGATGAAGATTCCATCGATTTTGTCAGGGTAATTTAGTTCCTAAATCTTCAACATTCCCTTCTGGTATTAAGGCCCTAGCAGATTATGTTCATAGAAAAGGGCTCAAGCTCGGAATTTACTCTGATGCTGGGTATGTTTATACACAAATCACATCAGCTTAAACAACTTCCTCGTTCATTTTCATTGTTGCACTTCATCAAAATGCTGCAGATAGTTTAATTTGCTGAAATATTTTGGGTTATAATTCCATTATCAGACCCTGTTTTAGTTAGATCTTTACTGAAGTTAATACAATCTCTTCAGGATCCAGACTTGCAGTAAGAAGATGCCAGGTTCCTTGGATCACGAAGAACAAGATGCAAAAACCTTTGCATCATGGGTATTTTTGGAACCTTGTTCTAGTCAGGAATAGAGAATATTTCGTTTTTTGTTTAAAGGAAACTGATATGTATACTACTATTGTCTAGGGGATCGATTACTTGAAATATGATAACTGTGAAAATACTGGTACAAGCCCAAAAGAAAGGTAGGATCCGCTTTCTATGTCCTTTAGGTAAGGGAATAGTCCAACTTTCGACCCTATTTGGCCTCCAATACTTTCTATTCTCGGTAACAAGGTTAAGCTCTTTTGCTAAAGCGCCATTGATGCGGCAAAAACTTTTTCAGTTTTTTGTCAAGACGATAAAAGAAATAAAGGGAGAATTGAATCAAAATGCATCTTTAATAGCTTTTTCTCTTTCGTGCTTCTCGTGATCGAATTTTCCAAATAACTGCAACACAATTCCTTGGGGACATAGGTATCCGAAGATGACTAAAGCCTTGCAACAATCTGGGAGACCCATACTTTTTTCTTTATGTGAATGGTTAGCAATTTTTTACTCTATTATTTCTCCATTCTAGAGTACAGAGGGAGTTCATTTCTTAAGTTTTTTCTCATTTAGGGGACAAGAAGACCCAGCTACTTGGGCAGTGAATGTAGGAAATAGTTGGAGAACAACATCAGATATTCAAGACAACTGGAACAGGTAGTAAGCATACATTCTTTCAAGCATATATTTTATGATCATTTCTGGAAACATGCAATAATTTCAAGAACTCTACCTTATTTGACTAGTTTCTTTTCTCCCCCATATGAATTTCAAGTCCCAAAAACTTCCTTTAGCAAGAAACTGATGCTGCTACTTAAATGGTACAGTATGACAACTATTGCTGATCAGAATGACAAATGGGCATCTTATGCTAAACCTGGAGGATGGAATGGTAAATTCCAGAATTGTAGTTCAATATGAAAAAAGATTCTCTTGTGTATAGAGAAATATTGGCTGGTTAGCTTGTTGGTTGGTCCCATTTCATATCTCTCAATACCGATTAAATATAACTGTTTAAACTCAACCTTTAACAATTTTGGGAAAACTATTTTCAAGGAAAAGTATAAAATTCTGAGTATTCATAGTTATCATTAAATAAGTTTTTCTTTTTTTTTAAACGATTATAAAATAACTTTGTTTGTGTGAGATTCCACGTTGGTTGGGGAGAAGAACGAAACACCCTTTATAAGGGTGTGGAAACCTTTCTCTAACAGACGTGTTTTAAAAACCTTGACGGAAAGCCTAAAGAGGACAATATCTGCTAGTGGTAGGCTTGTGCCGTTATAGTTTGTGTATTCACAATTCTCCCCTTTGGCTAAAACTGTACTACAATCTCAGAAATGTTAAAGAAAATAATCTTAGCTTAAAATTTCCTTTGTTCAGATCCTGACATGCTTGAAGTGGGGAACGGAGGGATGACAACAGCAGAATACCGCTCTCATTTTAGCATTTGGGCACTGGCAAAAGTAAGTACCATTGAGTAAAACTTTTCCAGAATCTACGTTTTAGTTTAGATTGGTAACTTCTCAGATCTTATTAAGACATATTCGGGCTTCAATTTCAAACCATTTAATAAAACCACATGAAGATAGGATTGAATATCTTTGCTTGATTTGAGGGTTCAGTATATAACTTTTTTGTGCTTCATTGAGTAGAAGTGTCTTATTACTTTATTATTGATTCCTTTCTTTACTTCATATGTGAAAGGCTCCTTTGCTGATTGGATGTGACATCAGATCAATGGACAACATCACCTTGAAATTGTTAAGTAATAAGGAGGTTATTGCAGTTAATCAGGGTAAGTAAAAACCAAGCATGATAATATTTTCTCTATAAAATGGAAAGATTAACCATTAACCAAATATGACATTATTTACTCCCATCTAAAAGTGTTTTATCCATGTAGATAAGCTTGGAGTTCAAGGGAAGAAGGTTTACAAACTTGGAGATCTTGAGGTAAATTTTCATCACCAACACATTCTAAAAGGAAATGAAAAGATAGTCTACTTTCCTCTTAACTTTTCTACACAAAAACAATACAGGTTTGGGCAGGGACACTTAGTGGTAAAAGAGTCGCTGTGGTTCTGTGGAACAGAGGCTTTTATAGAGCCAAAATCACTGCATCTTGGTCAGCTATTGGTTTGAGTCCATCAACTACTGTTACTGCCCGAGACTTATGGGAGGTAAGATCTAAATCATGTGTTAGGAATCACGACCCTTCACAATGGTATGATATTGTCCACTTTGAGCATATGCTCTCATGGGTTTGTTTTGGGCTTCTCCAAAAGGCCTCATTACCAATGGAGATGTATTCCTTACTTATAACCCCATCATCATTCCCTAAATTAGCCAATGTAGACTCACTCCTTACAATTCTCAACAATCCTCCCCTCGAACAAAGTACACTATAGAGCCTCCCTTGAGGCCTATGGAACCCTCGAACATCCTCCTCCCCATAATCGAGACTCAACTCATTCTTTGGAGTCCTCGAACAAAGTACATCATTTGTTCGACACATGAGTCACTTTTGACAACACCTTCGAGGCTCACAACTTTGTTGTTCGACATTTAAGGATTCTATTGACATGACTAAGTTAAGGGCATGACTCTAATACCATGTTAGGAATCACGAGTCTCCACAATAGTATGATATTGTCCACTTTGAGCATAAAGATCTCATGGCTTTACTTTGGGCTTCCCCAAAAGGCCTCATACCAATGGAGACGTATTTCTTACTTATAAACCCATGATCATTCCTTAAATTAGCCAACGTGGGACTCTCCCTCCCAACAATCCTTAACATCATATAATTAAAAGCACTTTTTCTCGAACTCAAGTAGCACTTTCACAATATCTAATAACACTTGAAACCAATGATTTCGAAACAAACATAATTAGTACTTTTGTATACAACGTTTTACTTAAGCGTTATTGTTCTCAGACTCAAGTAGACTCTCGATTAGAAAACGTTTGGTTTTGTGATTGATTATGAAATTTTCATTCCTACAACAGCACTCCAGTCAGGTGGTTCAGCATCAACTTACTGCTCAAGTAGACCCTCATGACTGTAAGATGTATGTTCTCACTCCCCATTAAAGCCCAAAGAGAAAACACCGCCAATGTTCTTGTGATTGATTATTGTTGTCTTCACTTCAGTCTCTATGCTGTGTTTCCTGGGATTTTACATGCTTTATCTGTTTGAGATGAGGTCTTTATTTCTTCAATGTGGATGAACAAATGCTCTTTGGAATTTTTATTTGTTAGGTACTTACATAGTTGTTCTCTATTTGGAACATAGACATCAAATGCATTTGTGCTTCATTCCACTTCCTATTATGTGATCAAGCTTTTGATGTTGAACGACAAAATGCATGACCTGTTTTTGAATGTCGATTTGATGATGTTTGCTACATGATTTCAATACTTGAAACAATGTTTCAGGGTTGTCGTTAGTTGTATTTAAAACAACTTTTGTCACGTTCATATGTCTACTTCAAGCATTTAAATTGTAATAGTTCAAGCCTACCGCTACTAGCAAAGGTCCTCTTTTGGTTTATCTTTTGGACTTCCCCTCAAGATTTTTAAAACCCGTCTTGATCTAATGTGATCAAGCTTTCGATTTTGAACGACAAAATGCATTTGAATCAAAATTTGATGATACGTTCCTGTTTGTTAATGTCGATACTTGCTCCATAATTTCAATACTTAAAACAATGTTTCAAGGTCGTCGTTAGTTGTATTTAGAACAACTTTTGGACGTTCACATGTTCTCTTCAAGCACTTAAATTGTAACAATTCAAGCTCATTGCTAGCAGGTATTGTCCTCTTCGGACTTTCTCTCAAGGTTCTTAAAAATTGTCCGCTAGGGAGAGGTTTCCTCCTCCCAACCGATGTGAATTCTCTCGTTCCTCTTTCCAATCAACATGAGATCTCACGTAAATAACTCTTATATAGAGGCATAAATTAATTTGATTGGCCTCTTCAAATCTTTTCCATAGTTCGGTGTGTGATAAAACACTTATATTTGTGCAACCGAAAAGAACCGAAAAGAACAATCATGAGATCCTAGATAATGAACTAAATGAAATTTTAAATGAAAAGTCAAATGAAGTAAAAATTGTAAAATTACAGTGTGGCCACGCCAACAAATCGGTAATTCCATAAGCTATAGTGGCCTTGGAAAGGATAAACTGGTAATTTTATACGCTACTTCATTAAGATGTCCATAATTTAGGTCATCCACCACAAAGAAGAAAATAAATAAATATATAATAAAAAGGGAAATCACAGGTGACAGGATATTTAAGAGCTTTTAGAATGGATAATAACCGAAATTTCAAAATTTGTTTGCTAACGAGGGAATCATCGTCGTTCGTAAGGAGAACTAGTGCGAGAGTTTCTGAAGAACAAGCTGGTTAAGGGAAGAACAAGAGAATGTCCGTGTTCGAGGTCATCGGACTAGGGTTGGCTTTTCGAAATGCTACTTCCACTTGCAACTTTCTATCTAATCCAGGAATCTTCCTCAAATCTGTTACTCCAAACCGTGAATTTCAGCTAATTTCACTTCGTTCTCGTGCTATGCTTTCTGAAAACGGCCACGAATCTATGTTTGATGCCAAGAGTGCTTCTACACCGACTGCAACTGACGCCAAGGGCTCTGGAACCACTGCTAGAAGTCGTCGATTGCTTAAGCTTCGTGAAGAGAAGCGAAAACGGGAGCATGATCGTCTCCACAATTATCCTGCTTGGGCGAAGTCTCTCTCTCTCTTTTCTGTATGATTGTGTGTTAGCATTTTTTTCAAGTGTATTCGATTGATAATGAAATCGCCGGTAAAACGACAGAGTGTTAGAAGATGCCTGCAAAAACGATGCGGAATTACGCGCTGTTCTTGGCGATAGCATTGGCAATCCAGAGGAAATGAGGAAAAAGGTATATCGATTTGGCTGATATTCATCTTCTTCAAACATTTACTGCTAACAGCTTTTGATATTGTGTCAGTTTTTTTAATCTATTTTTCAGATTTCTTCACTTCACTTTGAGTGACAAGAAACCTTAACAAAATGCTTCAAACTTGTTTGCAGTATATTCGCGATATAGGATTTAACGTTTCCTTGATATATTCTTTATCCATCGGTATGATGTCTTAGAAGATAAGCTTGCGTCGAGTACGACTGTCATTATATCTTGTTGATATAGTTGAATATATTTTGTTGGTCCAACATTTTCTGAGTATTGGTGCGTACTGTCATGAACGGATGCAGATGATATTTCTGGATAATCAACAGGATTACTTTATTAGTCGCCGTTTCATAAGTTACTCATTTGACTTATATTCTAGTATTGGCTCTTTATATTATACTCTTCCAAGATCAACTTAATTATCACACAACATTTTGCTGGAGAAGTTTCTCATATGACTAATAATTCATATACAAAGGTGTTGTTCATCAACTTATTTCGCATCTATTGTCAGTCACGAGCAATTAGCTTCTTACTAGAGTATCAAAACCAATCTGAATCTCATGTATTATACACTTGCCCGTGCTGGCATTCACACAAGTGATAGAACTGAAGAACAGAATAAGCTTGTTTCTCTGAGGTATCAGGCAGTAGAGATAAAACTTCTAAATGTTTTTCATTCAATTCCTGTTAAACGAAGGCATTTTCTTATCTTTGTGCTTGATACATCTTCCAATGTGATTGTGGTAGGTTGAAGAGAGAGTTCGGAGGAAGGGTAGAGATTTCACAAAGTCTAAAACGGGTTCCATCCTTGCCTTCAAAGTCAGCTTTAGAGAGTAATTTTTTTTTTAAACGCCCCTTACTTGTTTATCATCCTTTTTGGTCCAAACTAGTATTAGCTCATTTCCAGCGCCAAAATCAAAGTCTAATTCTCCATAATACAGAAAAGATTTCACCACATTGCCAATTCCATTTTTTCTTGCATTGAACCGTTGCTCATCAAATCTGAATTTGTTCTTCTCAATTGCTCAGGTTTCGAATCTGTTTTGAAAAAAATGTTTAAAAACCTGAAAGGTAGTGTTAATTCAGCAAGTTCTCCTTTAAAGAAAGCTGTATCTTAGTTTTTAGTATGGCTTCCTTGCACGAAAGGATTTTGTTTAAACTTTGGGTTTTCCAAATGTGCAAGTCATGAATTTTTTTGATGTGTTGTTTTACTTTTTTTTTTCTTTTTGAACGTTAAGTTATGATTAGATATAGTTTACTGTTTTATGGGTACTGGCAGTGTCATGGTTCAAAGATGCTTTTCTTACCTTCTCAGCTGATATGAGGATGGGAATATGCATTCTCGTTATTTAGGTCGTATTTGATAACCATTTGATTTTTGGTTTTTGAAAATTATGCTTATTTTTTTTTATCATTTCTCTACCATGAATTTAATCTTTCTTAAGCAAACATTTGAATTGTTAGCCAAATGCAAAAAAAAAAAAAAAAAAAAAAAAAAAAAAAAAAAAAAAAAAAAAAAACCACTTTTTAGTTGAAAATATATGTACTTATTATCAAAGCAAGGAAATCCATGGGTGGAAGTAGAACAGTTTTGTAGATGCATTCTAGTTGAGAAAGTGTTTTATCATTCTCCAACTGCGGATGTGTTTGAGACCTTCCATGCCTTTTTTTTAAGACTTTTTGTTGTGCCCCTCTCTCTATCGATCTCGCTGCTTCGCCTCTATCTCTAAAGGATGAGGGTGGCAGCCTTGATTGGGTGCCCCTCTAAGATCCCCGATTAACTGAGGCTCGGGGCGAGGGGGCTTTGCCTAAATTTCTTGAAGAGCACAAAGTCACTTCTTCATCTAGAAAGGAACACCAGAGAAGTAATTAAAAGAAACAAAAGTTACCAAATGAGACCTTATTTATCTTTTTCCCATGAGTGTAGTCAGCTATTATATAGATGGGAAGTTTGGTCATAATTGAAATGTTGGATCATGATAACTTTCTAAGTGACTATATAATCAGCTAAAATCTTATAAATTACGTTCTTTTTCTTGGTAAATTTGTAGTAGTCCAGTGCAGAACTGAACAATCCCAGGATACAGTGATATTGGACTTCTGCTATCTTTGAACATCCTCTGGCTGATTTTGTCCTCATTTCTTGAATAACTGATTTTTAAGTTTAACCATTGTTTTTCAAAACACTTAAACATTTATTTATACCTGTTCGTTGTGTCTTGTGAATCTTTTAGGCATCCTTAACCTGCTAATGAAGTGAAAATTATTCGTACTTTTGTTGATGTGGTGACAAATTGTTCATTTAATTTTTTCGGACGTTCGAACTTTACCATTTTTAGTAACTAACCATCCCTTTCCCTCTGTTTTTCTGCATAGCTTCAATCCTCTCGATTCCTACATATGGTTTGAGTTGATTGGATCACCATCTGATCGAGATGTTGATCTTATTGGCAGTGTAAGTTAATTCTTATTGCCATAGAATGGTTTTCTTTGTCAGAATTATTCTTTTCCTTGATCCTCATAAACATTGAAAATGACCATCTTCCACTTTCCCGCCACTCTCTGTGCTACCCTGAATGACTCTTAACCTTCCTTATATTTTGTATTACTTAAATTACAAGTTACCATGCAGGTTATCCAGTCATGGTACGTCATGGGTCGATTGGGGGCCTTCAACTCTTCAAATTTACAGGTTTCTTCATATATCCTTTAACCTAATTGATGTATTCTTCCTTCAACTCTTCAATCAACCCAACAGCCTAAAGGTAAATTTAATTATATCAACCTCCAATACCTCCTCTCACTTATGGGCTTGAATATTTTTAGAAGGTCCAACATGACCACTCTAATTGTTAAATCACTAATCAACCCAAAAACTTAAGCTGATGGGTTATGGTAAATTCCGACAACCCCAATGATTTGAAGCCAATTACATGTCCTTTTTCTTTACCTATTTCACAATTCAAAACTAATTCTCTTATTAAATTCATTACTTATATATTCGAATGAGGGAAGGCCTTATAACCAGTGTTTTCATTCTTTTCCACTTGACTTTTTGACGTGTGGGGATAACATTTACATTATGAATGTATCACACAACTACTTAATTGTTTTGTCAGCTTTATATGGTTGAAACTAGGTTCTCTAGATCTTTTCTCTAGAACTCTCTATTTATTTGTTTTGATAAACTAGGTTCTCTAGATCTTTTCTCAATTGTATATGAATTTGGTTATTTGGGAGCCAATTACTGATTCCTTTCCAAAGAAAGGGATAGCTCAACCAACCTGGTTAGGTGGTCTGTCTCTCACACCTCCTCCTAAGACTTAATGGGACCAAATCCAGGGCAGCTGAGTGAATTACTAAATATTTGGAATAAAAACTTCATTGAATCATTATT